CCCGGGGCCTTGGTGTTATCAGCACCGCACTCTCCCGAGTGAGCCACGGGCTGGCCCTACTGTTCAGAATTTTTGAAACAAAAAGGAAAAAATGGTACAGTGAAAAAATAATAGATGCAGAAACAAAAGACTTGTGGATTTTGTCTGACCTCCGAATTGCTATCAATGAGCTGTCTAAGCTCATGTATAACCTCTCTTCACCTTCTGTGAAGGTCAGAATCTCTGTTTAAGATGTGGTGTAAGGACCACATGAAAACCTTAACTGTGAAAAGTTCTTTGCAAAATGTTCAGCATATTGTACACGTGTACTTATATCACTAAGGGAAAAAGGAAAACATTCTATTACGTCTATAATCACCTCACCTGAGTTAAAAAGTGACTAGATCAGGTGCTGCTGGTTACTGCTCTCTTAGTTCTTTGGACTTTTCCCTCTCAGCATTTAGCACAAGGTGTAACTCTTTATGCCATAACTATCTGTCTGCCCCACTAGTGTGTTTTCTGCACCCTGTTGCCCTAGTACTTTACATGGTAATTACATTTGTAGATTAATAAATCATTTCATATAATTACCCATACCATTCGCTGAGCACATGATGATCCAGGCATGGTGCTAAGTATTTTGCATTTATTTATCTCCTCATTTAATCCTCACGGCAGCCCCCGGAAATTGGCAGAAATTATTTCCATTTTGTTTATTTTTTACATCCCCACCCTCCATTTTACAGATGAGAAAACTGAGGTCCCTGAAAAGTGAGACTCTAGCAGACGGGGTCGCCAGCTAAGAAGCGACACAGCGAGAATGTCAGAACCAGATCCTCTACCTCTCAGCCAGGATCCTCCTTGGTAATACCACACCACTCCCCTCAAGGAAGTATGGCCCACTGTGGAAAAGTTTTCATCCATACGGTTTCCTGTTATCTGACTTGGAAGCAACGTTCACTTGGGCCAGTACAAAGAAATTTGCCTTGGCCAGTGACCAAGTTCATGTGCCTTTGTGCAGGTGGTCCACATGGGCCTTGCAAGGATGGTCCCTGTGACTGTGAATCCTTTTTATCTTGTTATTGTTTCTCACTGAGAGATCCATTGCACCACATTTCTCATCGGGGAGTAGCATGTGGGTCAAAGATCACAAAAGTAACGAGCTGGGGGTGGGGTGGGAGAGCAGATGAGGAATTTTAAAGAATAAGAGGACCTGAGTACCAGCCTCTCATTTGTTCTTCACACACGACATTTGGGCTAGCTATTTTTTTATATATATAACTCAGAGTTATAACATTATGCTTTGAGGTTCAGTATTCTTAAAAAAATTTTTTTACTGATAAAATAGACATAGCTTCAGTACGCTTTTAGTTACATTTTTTGCTTATTTCAAAATCATTCTGCTGTCATTGTAGAAAAATCATAAAATATAGCTTAGTAAAAAGAAAGNGGAATTTTAAAGAATAAGAGGACCTGAGTACCAGCCTCTCATTTGTTCTTCACACACGACATTTGGGCTAGCTATTTTTTTATATATATAACTCAGAGTTATAACATTATGCTTTGAGGTTCAGTATTCTTAAAAAAATTTTTTTACTGATAAAATAGACATAGCTTCAGTACGCTTTTAGTTACATTTTTTGCTTATTTCAAAATCATTCTGCTGTCATTGTAGAAAAATCATAAAATATAGCTTAGTAAAAAGAAAGTAAGTTAAAATAACTTGAAATCCCACTTCCCAGAAAGAAGTACTATTAACAC